GGGGGGGGGGGGGGAGGGGACTATGAGTGCAATTAAATTAAACCTTTCTTTTGAATGGTCTGTGTGCTCTAGGTCCTTGAAACAATTGTTGTGATGGGAATAAAGAGGCTAAATTTTTAGAATAATGTAGTGGTAATGCTTGTAATTTTAAGGAGGTTTCTTTGGCTTGTTGGCATCTTATTTGGGGGACAATGTTGGTTATATTTTTTTGTTTGATAGCATATAACCTTTCAAGGTGATTTTCCTGGCAGATATACGTAGGGATTAGATGCACTTTCTCACTAGATGTATTGTTTTATTCATTAGTTTTCTTATCGAGGATTCTAATCTCCAATATCCTTGTGATTTTCTTTTCGTCTCAATGAATTTCTTCTCTCATAAGGATAAAAGAATTGGAAAGGTTAGATTATTTTGAAAAAAAAGACTTGATAGTAGTGACATGTTGTAGGCCTTTTTTGCACTGTGTTGTAACTTGGAATTTGTGATCCAATCATCCAAGTACTGGAGGACTCGAGCAGTATTGTTTCTTTGTAGACATGTGACTATCAAATACTATCATTACCTTATATTGTTGGGTCTTTAAAATTATTATTATTTAGATATACTATTGCCTTATTGTTATTATTATTACATTTTTCTTTTACTCGGTTTCTATGGCCTCGGTTAACATCCTTTTATACAATTTAATTTTTAATCTGTTTCGAGATTTTAGAGTATGAAGTTAGAGAAAAACCAGCTTTAAGCACATGGATGCAAGGTGGACTAGATTACATAATGTTACAATACTTGAACATTGATGGAATTCGAACTATTGGTAGTGTTCTAGGTCAAAGTATTGCTCTTGATTACTATGGTCGGCAGGTATGTTCTTCGTATGGTTAGGGTTTTTTGACATTTGGATATACCATGTACTGGTGCTATGCCTCCGAGAATCTACTCTAACAGCCCCTTTCTGCTTTTATTCTAGGTTGATGGAATGGTTGCAGAATTTACAGACATAAACCGTGAGATGGAAGCAACTGGGAAATTCAAAATGCAAAGGAAGAAGCTTTTCCAGTTAGTGGGCAAGGCAAATTCAAATCTTGCTGATGTGATTCTAAAGCTTGGACTATTTGAGAGGTAATAATCCAATTTTTGCTAACAAATTCTGCCAGTTAACTTGTTTCTGAAAAGAGAAATTGTGTTCCTAGTTTCTGATTATTTTGGTAGACACATTTTCAATTTCCAAATGTATAAGGGCAATCTAAGCAGTAGGATCTAGAATTGGTAGATGTACTAAGCTTTAACTCCGCAAATGGAGACTGGAGACTGTTTACCAAGATTTGAATGACTTCTAGGTCACAAGGAAGCTACCTTAGCATTGCATCAAGGTTGGCCATCCCAAATGTATATTAAATAGAGAAAAAAAATTGACGGGTAAATCATGTATTACCCTATGATCTATGAAAGCATGAACACATCTGTAGAACGATGTGTTGGTATGTCCATGTCCAATACGTTTCAAGCACAGATGCTTGTCATTCACGCCTTAGACACACGTTTGACACCCCTCCACCGTGTCACAATTGTCTTTTTTTTCTTAGACACGTTTGCAATAGCTTGGACATGGGTCAAGCAGAGTTCTGACATCTTTTCTGATGAAGCACTTATCTGACATTCCTATTATATATATTTTTTAAAAGTCTTATAAATATTGCGAGTCCCATAACATTTTTTGGTGAGGCTTATTTTCACAAGAATTACTAATTATTATAAATTTGAAGAGATATGAATCATATTATGTTGATTTACAATATGCAGTATGATTCATATCCATCTTCGTATTTTATCTATAAATTTGAAGAGAAGCAATTCATTTTCACAAGAATTACTAATTGTTATAACTTTGATGAGATATGATTCATATCCATCTTAGTATTCTATCTGTAAGAGTCATTATCATATGAACATTGTAAATAACTTTGTTTCAACGAGGTGAATATATATAAATCTTAATTCTGAATTTAGAATTTTGTCATGTTATATATATATATATATTGGACATTAGGCGTGTCCTAGTGTTCATGTCGGAGTCTGTGCTTCATATATGTGTATTAGATACGATATGCAGTATGATGATAATATTATTCTAAAAATTTTATCAAATGATGGCGGAGCAACTCATTATTGCTGCAAAAAACTTAATTTGGAGCGCTTTAAATGAGCGATCGCGAAAGTGGCGGGGTGGTGTGTCGTGATCCCGGTTTGTGCGGCGGGTTTTCCCTTACTTCTTCTGGTGGATCTCCTATAGATCTGTCTTCTTCTCTGGCAGATCTTCACATATCTGTCTTCTTTGGCAGATCTGTCTTCTTCTCTGGCCCTGAACTGTCTTCTCTGGCGGATCATCTGTAGAGCTGTCTTCTTCTAAGAGGGAGGGAGGTAGCGACTTATGGGTCTTAGTGTTAGAGGGCAAAATTAACTAATTAGGGTTGGAAAAGTTGGGCTAATGGGCACAAATTTATTATTTTTCTCTTTTGGTATGGTTGATGGGCCTAATTCAGTTTAAGTTTATTTTTATTTCTCTATTTTTTAGATAGTAACTTTATAAAAAATTTATATGACCTTAAACATTTTGTTTTCTTAATTTTCAATTTTTTTATATTTTGTTTAACTTCTATAAATTTTTATTATTGAAAATAATTAATGTATAAATTGAGTTATTTTTTATTTTTATACTTATATTATTAATTACATATCTATATATATATCTATCTATAT